AATTCCACAGAACTGGGACCCAGCTGGAGGAAATGGTCCTGTTACTGAAGAAATGCAGATCTAAGGATGATGATCCTCAGGGAACTGCAGCTGGGAATTGCGGGAATTCCCAGCCCAGCCTCCCTCTGGGGTTGCTGCCAGGCCTGGGGGTGTCCTGCAGCTGAGCCTGGGATGCTCACCCGGGGCTGGAATGGCTCAGCCTGGAGCGCAGCCAGCAGCTGTGTCCACAGCTGGGATGTTGGAATGCTGGGATGCCCTGTTTAAAAGAGCAGGGATTTGGGGAATGCAGGGATTTGGGGATGCTGTGCCTGCAGCAGTTAGGATAGAGGGATTTTGGGATGCTGTGCTACAGCAGCTGGGATTTTGGGATTTTGGGATGCTGTGCCTACAGCAGCTGGGGTTTGGGGATGCAGGGATTTTGGGATGCTGTGCTACAGCAGCTGGGATTTTGGGATGCCAGGGTTTTGGGATGCAGGGATTTGAGGATGCTGTGCTACAGCAACTGGGATTTAGGATATAGGGATTTTGGAATGCTGTGTCTACAGCTGCTGGGGTTTGGGGATGCAGGGATTTGGGCATGCTGGAATATAGGGATGCAGGAATTTTGGGGGTGCTGTGCCTACAGCAGCTGGGGTTTGGGGATGCAGGGATTTTGGGATGCAGGGATTTAGGGATGCAGGGATTTGGGGATGCTGGAATATAGGCATGCAGGAATTTTGGGGGTGCTGGGCCTACAGCAGCTGGGGTTTTGGGATACTGGGATGCTGGGGTTTGGGGATGCAAGGATTTTGGGAAATAGGGATTTTGGGATGTTGTGCCTACAGCAGCTTTGGTGCAGTCTTTGGAAGCCCCAGGCTTTTGGGAGTAGCTGCAAAGATCACTGAGCAGCTCTGTTTGGGGCCATGTCAAAGGAGTCTCTGGTGTTGAGGGAAAACATCCCAAAAATGCACGGGTTAAGCACGAGAGAACCAGCGTGCCCAGCAGACAGTGCTGCTCACACCAGCACGGGACAGCCTGCCCTGCTCCCTTGTCAGGGTGGGCCACTGACCCAAATCCACCCTAAACCACCTGTCCAGCACCTGCAAGAACCACACAGGGAAGCAACCAAACCCTTCTGGCAGTGAAAGCACTGAGGGCTTGGAGCTCTTGTTACGAGGATCCATCAAATACATTTATGGACCAGATCCACACCGATGTTCTCCTTCTGTCCTAGAGAAGCTGTGGCTGCCCCATCCCTGGCCGTGTCCCAGGCCAGATTGAGCAGGTCCTGGAGCAGCNGTTTCCCAAATCCACTTGTTTAAATGCTGGTTTTGGGCTCCCATTCCCAAATTCACCTGTTTAAGTGCTTGGTGTTGGGCTGGGTATCCCAAATCTGCCTGTTTAATGCTGCTTTTGGGCTCCGTTCCTAAATCTGCCTGGATAAAACCTGAACTCCCTGATTTTATGGGAGTCCTTTGTGAGTTCTGGGACATTTCTTGCTCTTTGCTGGGTGGCTGCAGGTGAGAGAGAGCAGGAATTTGGGGGAGGCTGTTGGTTTTTGTGAAAAGCGCCAATCACTCGTTTTTAAAATTTTAGCATTTTAATAGTACCAAAATGGTTATAAAAATAGTGTGGAAAATGCCAATCACTTGTTTTTAGATTTTTTTAAAAGATTAATAGTAAGAAAATGGTTATAAAAATAGTAATATAATTAGAGTAATAAACATTTGGACAATTGAGATTATAATTGTGTTGTAATACAAGACAATAAAAACAAAGAGCTACGCACAGTCTGGGTACCTTGGTGTGCTGTGGGACAGAGTAGGGTCAGGGGATGTGTGTGGGATTCTCAGGGAATGCAGGATCCTGCCCCTTGGTGTGCTGGGTGGGATTCTCAGGGAATGCAGGATGGATCCTTGGTGTGCTGGGTGGGATTCTCAGGGAATGCAGGATGGCCCTTGGTGTGCTGGGTGGGAATCTCAGGGAATGCAGGATGGATCCTTGGTGTGCTGGGTGGAAATCTCAGGGAATGCAGGATGGATCCTTGGTGTGCTGGGTGGGATTCTCAGGGAATGCAGGATGGCCCTTTGTGTGCTGGGTGGGNTTCCCACTCTCACTGCTGCCCTCCGGTGGACAATTCCTGAACTGCAACTGCCAGAATCCCCAAATCCCAGAATGGGTCAGGCCAGAAGAACCCAGGGTGGGCACCTGGCCCAGCCTCCCAGCTCAGGCTCAGCGTCATCGCTGAGACCAGGATTGGGTCCAGGGCAGCCCAGAAAGAGATATGGCACTGGGCAGCACTGGACCTGGCACTGAACAGAGCTGGGCACAGCACTCCTGATGTGCCTCCCTGGGCAGGACAGAGGGGTACAAACATAGCCTGACTCCCTGGGCCTGCCCCTTCTGATGCCCCTGGATCCCTCCAGGCCCCAGGCTACACAGCCAGCTCCACTGGTCACCCAGCAGCACCACAGCCAGTGGTCACTCAGCAGCACCACAGCCAGTGGTCACTCAGCAGCACCCCTAGGTTCTTCTCCAGAGTTGCTCCAGCAGGTACTCCTGAACATAAACAGACACCAGGGACTGTCCCTCCCAAAGGGACAGGACTTACCCTTTCCTTTCAAACCTAGAAACTTCCAGGCTTTAAGGTCCTCCTGAAGTGCAGGATGTGGCAGGATGCTGTGCTTTTAATGTGCGCAAGGGACAATGCTCCATTTACAGCCATCAGGGCTTTGCTGAGAGGGCTTTGCAGAGCTTTGTGCTGATTTTGTTGATGAATTGGGCTAAAAACAGCCAAAATCACCAACCCTGAATTGACAACTGAGGGTAAACCACCAGAGCTGGGCATGGCGGCCCATCAGTATACCCTGGGAATCCCAGTCCCTTCTCAAACAGGGAGTCCTCTCCCTTGTTCCTGCTGGAAATCAAATGTGTGTCTGGTTCCTCCCTCTTGAAGGGGATGCTCCACAGAGATCCTCCTCGAGGCTGGGAGAAAGAGACACCTCCATGAGTGTTGGTATGGGGAATGATATCGAGCCCTGCTTAGGAATTGCCACTTTTTGCTGTCTTTGTCAGAATTGCTTAATGAAATCGTTATCGCTGAATTATTTATTAGAATTGCTTTGCACAATGACCTTGGTGTCTACAGCGGCCACAGTGGCTGTGGCAGCCATGTTAAAGGGAGCCTTGATGATCATGGTGATCTCGTTGACCTTGGTGGCCTAGAGCTCAGAGGATCCAATGGCTCCAGCCAGGGCTGTGGTGGCCACGAGAAATCCCTGGTGGTGACAAGAATGCCTGGGGATACTTCCACCTGGGGGACAAAGAGGGGTATAATGGGAGATCATATGGGGAGTGAGGGGGTCAGGAAAGGCCAAAAGGGTGGGTTAGGGGTGACAGGAGACAGGATGTCGTGGGTGCGGGGGCATTAGGGGTAGAGGGGCTAGGTAGGTCAGCAGGGTCAAGGTGGGCTTACATATGACAGGGGTCAGGGGGAGTCAGGGGGTGCCATTGGGGTTGACAGGGCATGACAGGGATTCAGGGAGTGCTGTGGGGGTCATTGCCCATCCACATCCAGCACACAGAGGCCATCCCAAGATCACTGTTTTTGTGGAGAGGGACACGTTCGGTACAGGGAGGGCTCAGTCTCTGTCCTCCCCTGGCAGGGGTGTTCCTGTCCCTGTCCCCTCCCAGAAGTGGGAATCCCCATCCCTGTGCCCTGTCATGGATGTTCTTGCCCTCATGCCCACAATAGATGCCCCCAAATTAGATGTCACCAGCACTGGGTGTCCTTCTCCCCCAACACACAGTGGGTGTCCCTGTCCCCCACACCCAGTGAGTGTCATTGTCCCCTGTGCCTTATCATGAGAGTCCCCAAGGCCACAGTGGGCATCCACATCCCACCAGGCTGTCCCCTGTGCTGTCACCTCAGTGCCACTCGCAGTTATATTTGCTGAAAGTCCCAGCAGAACGGAGACTGATCCATGTCCTCTTCCCATTCTGGGTGACTTTGGTGACCTCAAAGGTCTCATATGGTGGGATCAGCACCTCCTCCTCCCCTGGATACATGGAGAACCACTGGATGTCCACGCCATGGCACGTGTGCACCTCGAAAATTGTGTCTGTCCCAAAGTGCAGAGCAATCTCTTTACGCAGCCACATCGATGTGAATTGACCAAACCGGATGCTCTGGCCTTGCCATGCCTGGAAATGAACATCACGCATGCCCCAGAACACATGGTGACACTGCCTGTTCTGACCCTGCCTCAGCGTCACCAGGGCCTGGGTCAGTAGGAAATGCAGCGTTTTGAAGCACAAGTTGTTCTGGTATTCCTGGCGGGAGCGCCCGGCAGCGCACACGACTGCATTGAAGTCCCCGTACATGTACAGGATGTGTAGGCCATGAGAGCCACGGCCTGCCAATGGGTTGTCACAGGGGACACAGGAGAGCCCCACTTGCGCCACTCAGCATCAGCATGATACCAGCCCCAGGCAAAGGGACGATTCTTCTGGGACTTGGAGTTGTAGAGGGATGACCACTTTGCATTCAGGGCAGGGCCACAGCCCTGGTACTGGTCATCAAAGGAGTCCCAGGCCACGTCCAGGGGCACCACCTTGATGGCCATGGTGGTCACAGTCACTGCCAGCAGTACCAAGGTGTGAGCCAGGAGGGCCATGGCAAGGAAAGGCCACCACGAGCAGTGTGGGACACTGGGGGACAAAGAGGGACACAGTGAGGGGACACTTGGGGCACGTGGGGGTACATGGGAAGGGTTCATCTGCGAGGGGCTGAGGAGGGGAACTGAGGGCAGCCGTGGGGCTGGGGGGACAGTTTCAGCTTGAAGTCCCCTGGACACATGCTGATTCCAAATCCTGGGGTCATTCCTGGACTACCCTCAGACCCCCAGGACAACAATCCCACTCCCCTGTTCTCATGTCTTCAACCCTTAGTGTCCTCCTACAGCCGCAGGAAATTATATCAAATTCTGTGGTCACTCTCTGTGCCTGCAGCAGTGCCCCCCTGGATGCCACTTCTTTGTGCCCTCAAGTGTCGTTCTGTGCCCACCAGCCCCACAACCCTACTCCCAGTCCTGCCTCAGTTCCCCCAGTAGTGTCACTCCAGCCCAAACCCTGGGAACAATCCCTGACATCCCCAGGGTCCCCTCAGTGCCCCACCAGCCCCTCATCCCAAACCCTGTCTTGTGTTTACCCTTCCATTGTTCCCCTCACAGCTCCCCAGGACCTGACTCCTGTTCCCATAGCTCTTTAGACCACTTGTGAACCAGGGCCCTTCCAGGACTTCACCCAACTTCCTAAAGCCACACCCTCACACGCCCAGTGTACCCCAAATCCCTCTCCCAGACCCAAAACCTGCTCCCAGTCTCATTACCCATGTCATGTAAAGCCAGGACTCCAACCCAAATCCAGGGTTCATCCCTTGCCCCCCACAACATCCCCCTGGAGACCCCCATGGTCCCACTCCCCAATCCCAATCCCATGTCCCTCCCACAAGTGTCCCCAGTGTTCCGCAGCCCCTGATACCAAAATCAGCTGAGTGAAAACCCTGATGGAACTGGAACTATCAGAAAGCTGGAATTCTTTATCCGCTCAGACTCACAGCAGATCTCTCCTGATCCTGCAGCACATGGGGGGACTTTGCCATGAGATATTTATCCACAATTATAAATAGTCATTAAAAAGGGACTTCTTAGCTAATGCAGATACATCATTTTCTCTGGAAATAATTTGCATACTTCTGCCTCTTTCTGGAAATCCTTTTATGGTACTGGAGGGTCACCCAAAGGGGTTTCTGGGTGTGATTTTTACTGATTGCCCCAATATGCCAGATGACCTTTCCTGCAACTTCTGCTTTTTGCAGGCACTGCTCCTTCTGTGGTCCAGAACTCGCAAAAAACCCTGCTGGAGTTCCCTTTATCTGTTTCTCCATGGATTCCATCCATGTTCAGCCTGCATATCCACATTTCTACCTCCTTTCCATTCTTTTGCCCATTCATCGAGAAGCTCTATCCAGCACTATTGAGGGATCTGAAAATGTCTTTCTCACTCTTATTACTCAAGGCCAGATCCCCAGTCCCTCTCCCACAGACCCATGTAAATGTAGGAACTCACTTGAAATCCACTTTGAGCATTGCTCTTGCCCATGGAGCCATATGGAGAGAAAGAAGTAAATTAACAGCACAGGAAACTCCAATTAAATATAAACAAGAATTACTGTCTGGCCTTGATAACCTCCCAGCTGTCCAAAGAAGTGGCTGAACTACAATCCAGGGAACACCAGCCTTGGGATTGGCAAATCCCTGTGAGTAAATAGATTTGCAATAAAGCTGCATGAGAGGTTCCGCAACAAAGCATCCTGGTGTTAATTCCTGAGAAAGGAATTTCACTGCCAGAGGTGAGGCCTGGATAGAGTTGGGCAGATTGAAAATTGGCTGCTTATCTAAAAGCCCACAAGAAAGAGGGTGGCTGGGTGGCTGGGTTAGAGGTAACTCCCAATAACCAGGTCAGGCCTTCCCCAGCTGATGCTGCAATTGGCAAAGGAGAAAAGCACCAGCAAAGCTCTGGGGAATCGATGAGATGGGGACTGGTCTGCAGTCTCACATCCTCAGTGTCTTTAGGACAAAACAGTCAGGTCTGTTACAGAGCAATGCCTGATGTGCTTTCAAAAGAATCCTTTGAATTCAAAACCATTCCCTCCAGGCATCACTGGAAGAGGAAACACTCCCAATGATAACTGGCAAATGGCTTTTCTGAACTATCATGCCAATATGGGCTCAGGTATCTCCTGGTGTTGGTGGATCCCTTTTTTGGGCTCCAGAACTTCTCCTGCCACACCAACAAAACCAAGGATGTCATGCAGGGACTCCCCCACAAGATCATCCCCAGGCTCAATGTGCCTACAGGGATGTCATCTGATAGGGGACCCCAAGTGGTATCAGAGGTGTGACAGCAACTCAGTGAGCAGTGGGGAGTGGGACTGGAGGGAACTGGGGGGACATGGGACCGTGGGATTGGGGTTGCAGAGGGTGAGCAATAAGAGAGAGAATAGAAAGTTTCAGATCCCATAATGGTGCTGGATAGGGCTTAAAGACTAACGGGCAAAAGAAAGAAAAGGAGTGAGAAGTGTGGATACCAGGATGAACATGGATGAAGTCCATGGAGAAACAGATAAAGGAACTCCAGTGAGGGTCTTTGGCAAATTCGTGGCCACAGAAGGAGCAGCGCCTGCCAAAAGCAGAAGTTGCAGGAAAGGTCATCTGGCATATTGGGGCCATCAGTAAAAACCACACCCAAAAACCCCTTTGGGTGACCCTCCAGCACCATAAAAGGACTTCCAGAAAGAGGCAGAACTATGTAAATTATTTCCAGAGAAAGTGATGTATCTGCATTAGCTAAGAAGTCCCTTTTAATGAATATTTATAATTGTGGTGGATAAATACCCCACGGCAAAGTCCCCCCATGTGCTGCAGGACCAGGAGAGATCTGCTGTGAGTCCGAGCAGATAAAGAATTCCAGCTTTCTGATAGCTCCAGTTCCATCAGGGAGTTCACTCTGGCCAATTTCGGTATCAGGGTCTGGGGGGACAATGGGTCATACTGAAGGGGGGGGACATGGGATTGGGATTGCAGGGTGGGACCATGGGGGCTCCCGGGGGATGTTATGGGGGCAGGGAGTGACATCTGGATTTGGGTTGGAGTTCTAGGGTGACATAAAATGGGTAATGGGTCTGGGAGTGAAACTGGGGTCTGGGAGGGGGCTGTGGAGGACAGTGGGGGCTGAGGGAGTGGCTTTAGGGATTTAGTTGGGGCTTGTAATCAGCCCGGTGCTGCGAGAGAGATGCAGAGGATTTGGAGCAGGATTGAGGATGAGGGGAGCACTGGAGGGACAATGGAAGGGTAAACACAGGACTGGGATTGGGAGGGGGGCTGGTGGGGCACTGAGGGGACACTGGGGAGGTCAGGGATTGGCCCCAGGGTTTGGACTGGGGAACAGTAGAAGGGCTGGGGGTGGGGTTGTGGGGCTTGTGGGTACAGGGATGACACTGGGGGGACACAGCAGCGGGATCCAGGGAGGGCATTGTCGGAGTGGGTTTTGGGTCATGGGACACAATGCTGGAAGGTCAGGGAGTGACCCCAGAATTTGAATCCTTGTCCTAAGGGGCTGGGAGGCCACTAAGGGTTGAGGATATGAGACCATGTGTGTGGGATTGTTGTCCTGGGGGTCTAAGGAACACTGGGGAGTCCTGGAATGACCCCAGAATTTCTGATCAGCATTCCAGGTCTTCTAACCAGAGCTGCCCCCCGTCCCCTGGGCTGGCCCCCTCTCCCTCCCCAGCCCCCCACAGAGGGAGCTTTCCTATGTAGCCCTGTGTGCCCGAATTGTCCCCTCAGTGTGTCCCCTTTTGTCTCCCAGTGTCCCACACCAGTCCCTTGGCTTCTCCTGGAGACTTCTCCTCACCATGACCCTCCTGGCTCGCACCCTGGCACTGCTGGCAATGACCTTGGCCATCACAGCCATCAAGGTGGTGCCCCTGGACATGGCCAGGGACTCCTTTGATGACCAGTACCGGGGCTGCGGCCCTGCCATGATGGCCGTGTTGCCAGCCCTCCACAACTTTGAGTTCCAGGTGAATCCTCTATTCACCCAAACCTGGGTGAAGGCCGAGGCTGAGTGGCGCAAGCGGGGCTCCCCTGTGGCCCCTCTGGCTTCCCCAGCCCAAGCTGTGGCTCTCATGGCCTACACAACAAAGGACATTTACAAGGACTTCAACGCAGCCGTGCGTGTGGCCGGGCATTCCCGCCAGGAATACCGGAACAACTTCCACTTCAAAACGCTGCATTTTCTGCTGACCAAGGCCCTGGTGACACTGAGGCAGGCTCAGAAAGCAAAGTGTCACCATGTGTTCCGGGGCGTGCATGATGTCCGGTTCCAGGCACGGCGTGGTCAGAAGGTCCGGTTTGGCCAATTCACATCGACATCACTGAGCAAAGAGGTCGCCCAGAAGTACGGAACAGACACCATATTTGAGGTTCAAACGTGCCACGGTGTGGACATCCAGGCTTTTTCCTTCTATCTGAGCAACCGTGAGGTGCTGATCCCGCCATACGAAACCTTTGAGGTCACCAAAGTCACCCGGAATGGGAAGAGGGCATGGATCACTCTCCGATCCTCCGGGACCTACAGCAAACACAACTGCGCATGGCTGTGAGGTGACGGCACAGGGGACAGTTTGGGGCAATGGGGACACCCATGATATGGCATAGGGGGGGCATGGGGACAGGGTCAACCACTGTGTGTGGGCAGGACAAGGAGACCCACAGCGAGGGACCAGGACAGAGACACCCAGTGCTGGGAACACCCAATATGGGGACAGGGGACACACATGATAGGACACAGAGGGTGAGGACACTCCCTGCCACTTGTGGGAACACTCACTGAGAGTTTGGGCTCAGGGACATCCAGTGCTGAGAGACCAGGTCTGGGGACACCAATTGTGGGCACGGGGGCAAGAATGTCCATGACAGGGCAGAGGGAGGGGGGACCCCCACATCTGGGAGGGGTCAGGGACAAGAACACCCCTGCAAGGGAAGGACAGAGATGGGGCCCT